AGACATTAAACATTTTTTTAAGGCTTGTGATGGATGAAGTATGAAGTCATGACAATCCACCAGGCAAAACTCAATATCTTAGTCATAAGTATTTCTTGTCTCATGAAATTTTTTTTCAAGACACTTTAATAGCTGATACTTCATTGCATACATATATTTTAATCTTAATGTGGATGTTTTTAATTTGTAACTATTGTAGGTTAAGCAGTAAACATTTTAGCAGTTAAGTCTTGGAATGTTATTACAATATTCTTTATGATATATTACTGAAAGTCATATTTATGGCGTACGGAAAAAGAGTCTTTTGTAAATGCACATTATCAAACTGCATACCATAAATATTATTATCTTTTAAAATTTTCACCAGCAGTGGAAGAAAGTATGCATTTTACCACATCTACAAAAAAGTATTTAAAATTATTTTAGCAATGTGATTACTTTTTTGGTAAATTAATCTGCATTTTATTTAATGCAAGTAATAAAAAATTGGACTAATTATTTTTTCAATAAATGACTGGTCATTTTTTTAAATGGATGATTCAAGTCTTGTGTAAGGATATTTATCTTTTTATTATTAATTTATCAGGATTTGTTCAATAAAGATATTCACCCTAGAAAAAGGCCTTGAGAAAAAAATTCAGTAAATTAAGAGTGGAGCCATGACAGAAGAACAAAGAAAACAACTCTGCTGTTATTTCTCTATTTACATTTCCAACACTTCCTGCCAGAAATAAGAGTTTTCCCTAATTCTGACACACGCTGCTTAGATTTAGTGTAGACACCACAAGTTAAGGACTCAGTCTCATAAGATTTTCTATCTCTTCAAACATAAATTACAAGTAGTAGACCCTGTGTACCCAGAAATCCTGTCTCTCCTCACCACAAATCAAGTGTTCCATGATCTTCTCTTTGTGTTGGGTAACATTCTAGCATTATAGAACCCCACAAAGAGCTTACTTATATTTGCAATTTAAAACAAAGTATGCTTTAAAGCATACAAATGAATAACCAGTTAAAGAGATACATACTACAAAGTCAGGAAGGATTTCATGATGAGGAACTATTGTGCCTATGAGATTGGGGTGTGACACCCTCCCAGCACATGGATATTTTCATCAACCTCGAAGCTCTTTGCATCTCATACTTTGAGATTTTTATGGACTGTTTATCATATAGTCTTAACAGTTAACTTAATGCTCAGCTGCATTCCCCATTCTGGAGAATGAGGTAAGGCTTATACATAAGCTTGGTATTGCTGGTAACCAAACCCCATCCAACAGCTTACCACATTCACCTTATCAGAACAAAAAAATGCTCTTATCACCCAGAAATTTCCATAGGATTAGGATCTCTCTCTCTCTCTCTTTCTTTTAGATTTATTTATTTATGCTTATAGAATTGGGGTACAGGCCAGAGGTGTGGTGGGTGAGAGAATTCACTGAGGATTCACCAGAGACAGAGTGGGGAGCTGAACAGGCAGATTGACAAGTACACTGCTGAGGGGAGCAGCAGGTGGGTCAGAAGAGGTCTGCCACTCCATGTGGATCACTTCCCTGGCTGGGGATCAAACTCATGCTGCAGTGGCTTCTGAGAGCTTCATAATGGTGCTTTCACCCATTGTGCCACCAGGGAGAGCCATCAGTCATCTCTGTCATTCAGAAAGTTTATGGTTATAGGAGAGATGTCTGAGGCAGATGTCTGTCTTTAAATTCAAGATATTAACAGGAATGAATATAATATATAAATATACCCATTTATAGGTATTATATACTTATATATAATATCATTTATTTCTTTGTCAAGCCCCATATCAGTTAGTGAATCACATCTGTAGTTTTATCATCTATTATGAAATGAGTATATATGACATTTCTTCCACCTGTGCATATGGGAAGAAGGAATACAGGGCCTTGTTGCTGGTCACTTGTGGCTTTGTTGTTTTGTTTTGATTTTAATCTCACTGCAAATATATGTGTACATTTTTTCTGCCCTTCCAAAAATTGTGTGAAAATAAAATGCCTTTACACTTCCATTCAACACTTTCCCTACTTCTAATTTGTTAGAAGAACATGCTCATTTTTCCTTAGACAGTGAAAAACAAAATTACCATTGGTGTAATAAGCAAAGGAAGAACTGGTCGGTTGATTGTTAAGGGAAAAAAACACTGGGTGTACATGCATGAAGGATATAATGTGTGCTTAATTGACATGATCATGTGCATATGATTTGAGGGGCAAATTAAAGACAGCAAGTCATTTGATAAAGTGCAGAAACTGGATGATATAACAAAGTGCTAAAAAATTAGTTTCTTCTTTGTGTAATAATGAGGAGGTGCCTGCATCAAGAAGTTAAATTCCTGATAAATAGTATTTAACATGGTTTTGGAAGACTAATTTAACATTTTATTGCCAGAGAATTAACTTCTAAAAGCTGGCATTAATTTCAGTTTTATGTAGAGCCAATGGATTAGTAATGAAATATCAAAGGAAAAGTACAGTCACACTTAAGTGTTTTTAATGATAATAATGACTTCAAACTTGATAAGAAATTTGAAAAAATGTACTCCCTTCCTGTATTTTTTCATAACAAATGAAAGTTTACCATGGAGAATATAGTCTTCGTTAAGATGCATTCAGAGTAGGACATATCAGAAAATGATTCCAACTTGATTAAAATTTTCTCATTATATTCATTCAGGCCCTTATATTGATTTTCTAAGTGGAAAAAATGAGAATTTTAAGCTTTCTAAAACGTTATGGAAATGTTCAAATCAGTAAAGTTTAAAAAGCTAATCTGAAGATCCAAATCAGTAAGTGACAATTAAGAACACTCCAGATATGAGGCAAATAAATGAACTGAATGATCAGTTCTAAATGTGCCCAGATAAGGATCATCTTTGATTTCCCTGCTTTGAAATATTTTATTTCCAATAATTTAAGTAGTGACTTAAAAAATTTAATTTTTCAATTTCTTATGGATATAAAGTAGAGGTTGTGTTTTGTATTTCAGTCTTAAAAATTTACCTATATATTTTTGTGATTTTTTTTGTTTGTATGTGGCTACTGTATTCACTCATGTAATTATTATTCAATAATTTTTGTTTGAGCCATATGAACAAAATGTAAAATGTAAAGAACTAAATGAGTAAATGTACTTTGCATAATAAATAGGGTAACACTATTTCGCTTAATATTTTTTTCTCAATACATTGACTTTATTTGAGGTGTAATTATTCTTTGATACCACAATATGGTAAAGAAAATTTTTATGATGAACAGCCTAGTGTTTGTTTTTAGTCTGGCACTGAAATACATTTATATTGTGTAGTTAACATAGTTACTGTCTCGTATTCTTCAAAGTCATTTCTATTTTGTATTTTTTATAGTTTGTCTGTTTTTTGACTTACTAGGGGTTGTCTTTTTTGTCCTGGCCTTCCTTTAAGGCCTTCCTTTAAGATTGCATTGAGAATAGCCTATCTTTAAAATGTTCACATTGACCTTTCATAAATTAGAAAAATCACTTAACAAATCACATTTTAAGGGTTTGAAGACATAAAAATGGCTTGATTTATGTTATATGAACAACAACAAAAAAAAAACAGTGACATTGTTACACTTCCACTCATCATTTCATCTGAGATAGCTCAGATGGTATAATAAATCCCCCAAATTATTTTTTAAATGTTTTATAATTATGTTAATTTTGATTATTAGAAAATTTTAAAAAATTATTGGAATACAATGAAAAGGAAATTGAAGTGTACCCACATTTCCATTGCTCTGCAGTAGCCTACTTTCCTGTGTAAATTGAATATTCATTAAAGGATTCATTATATTCAGTTTAATTACATATCATGTGTTTAACCATTCTTCATGTATCACTTGATTGTTCCAACTTGAATGCCTAGGTAAATGTTGAAGAATTATATCAAAATCAAGGAAAGAGGAGGGATAATTTGTTGAACTAGATGAGGCATTTAGTTGTAGAGTTTACCCATTAGTGTTTGGAAATGCAGTTTGAAAAAGAATTTTAGCAGTACCTTCTTAAAGATAATCAGTATAGTCAGTAGTTGAAGTCTTGCTCATGGGTAGTATGTCTGAAGAAGAACTCAGAAATGAAATTCTTTTCTGGCATAAAATTTGTTTTTGTTTTTGACAGACCATATCATCTGTCTGCATTTCATCAGATTGTAAATTAAACTTCCATTTCTTCCTCTGTTTTTTAAGGGCAATAATCACTAGTTTGTATACTTTAAATGTGTCATGTCTGAACAAATCTGTGCTCTTGATGGCTGCAGTTATATAATAAAAGCTTGGCTATACAACTCATTAGCTAAGTAATATTGCTTTGATAATTTTTATCAGCTGTATTATGTATGGTATATCATTGTAGAAAATTTTTCTCTGATACTTTTCTCCATTGTCTCACAGATACTGATTATTAAAATTTTAGTTTTTCTTTGAAAAAGAATACCTTTCCTGCTGGCTTTGTTATTTCAGGATTTGTTTTTGTGAATAAAATAATGCTATACCATTCATAAGCCTTGAGCTATTAATAACCTTGAAAATTCTTAGTGAAGGTTAAAGGAACTAATGAGTTATATTTGTTTTAATTCCTGCTTTTTATACTTTTCTCCTGTGGTTTAGATTGTATAAACCAAAAACAACAAAGCAGATCCCATGCTTTCAGAGTCTGCATAGCTTCAGTTCTGTTACTGTATTTATTCCTTATATTTCTCAGAATTTGGTTTGGGTTTGTTTCAATATTGAAAATAAGTATGCCATAAAATAATTACCATCTGGTTCCAGGAATCATCTGGAGTGGAATGCAGATGCAGTGTTATCAGGAATCTTGTCACAGAACTTTTGTCAAAATACTGTGCCTCTTATAATTAAATAACTGCTCATTAACAGTCTTTACCAATAGCTATGAGAAAGAAACTTTGGAGTATAAGGAACATTGGAATATAATGTACTATATGCAATTTTCTTCCCTATTAGAAAGCAGAAGATGAAGACATTGTCCTCACACCTGATGGCACCAGGGAATTTCTGACATTTGAAGTTCCACTTAATGATTCAGGATCAGCTGGTCTTGGTGTCAGTGTCAAAGGTAACCGATCAAAAGAGAACCATGCGGATTTGGGAATCTTCGTCAAGTCCATTATTAATGGAGGAGCAGCATCTAAAGTAAGCACATGTCAACTTTATCAAGCATATGCATAGTAACTAAAATGGTAAATTTCTTTTATTTTGGAAACATATACTGTAGGAGAGGATTAGCTAGCTGCCCTTTATCCTTATTGACTTGTTAACTATGACCTATGAATTAAACTGACAGATTAAGGGAGAGAAAAGTTTGCAAATTTAATTAATATTTTTTATCTTTATAGTTTTTTTTAATTATTTATGCATACAGAAATGGGGTACACGCCAGAGGTGCAGGCGGTGGTGAGAGGTTTTACCAGAGACAGAGTGGGGAACAGAACAGGCAGATTGACGAAGTACACTGCCGAGGGGAGCAGCTGGCAGGCCAGGAGAGGTCTGCCACGCCATGTGGACCACCTTTGGGGTCAGGGATCGAACTTGTACTGAAGAGGCTGCTGCTAGCTTGCAGGTCCGCATCCTCACCCTTTGTGCCACCCGGAAGGGACCTTGATATTAACTTTTTAATTTTATATTTTCAGTGTACACAGAAAAATTTCCCCACCCTATCTGTGTTCTTGTAAAGTTTGAGTAATGAGCAAGTTACCATCAAACAGATCAGTAGAAGATAAAGCCACAATTTAATAATATGTTTGGGAGAATGTATGTGACTGTAAATTCTAAAGAACAATGTGAACCAGGGATATTTACCCTGAGTTTAGGGATCAGGGATTCAAACAGAGAGAGGGTGGAGACTTACCATGACAGACAAGAAGGGGTTTCTGCACCCTTATACTAATTAAAGAGGAGATTCTTAAAGGAGACTCAGTCACTGAACAATCTACACGTGGAGGACATCTGTAAGCTCTATCTTTCTTGGGTCATGGAAGGAGAGGAGCAGCTATTACTTCAATTAGGAAAAGGGCAGACTCTTAGGATGTGATGATCTCTTACTCTATTTGTGGTAGGGAGGATCTTGAGCAAGGGCAAAATTTTCTCCTAAGCCTTGAGAGATCGCATTGCTCTTAGCTCAAAATACTACTGCCAGAGTGGGTATCTTGAGGGGGCCAGTTTTAGGAATCTTGGGGTTTTCTGACTTGGACACCTTCAAATGTAAACTCTGCTCTACAGAAAAGAGACGGAATCCCAAGCTATTTAGTCTCAATAACTTAATGTATCATCTTAACTAAGAACAATCAATTGTGGAGGACTAACTAGACAAAGGAAAGGGCTTGGATTTTAAAGGGGAGAGAATTGTGGAAAGATAAATATTTGGGGAAACTAGTGGTTGATAAAGTTTAATTAATAAGGTTGGCCTGTTCATACTCATCAGTGCCAGTAGTAGATTTCTTTTTCCCTTTTAGTTTAGGAGAGAAGAGGACACGGCTTCACAAAGTGAAATATAGCCCATGGCTTTGGCTAGAAAGGGAGAGGGAAGAAAGCCATTCTGCCTGCATTTCTCAGTTGATTTGAGCTCAAAATGATTCTTATTGGAAAACACATGCACTTTTTTTTTTAAAGATTTATTTATTTATGCTTTCAAAACTGGGGTACAGGCCAGAGGTGTGGTGGGTGAGAGAATTCACCAGGGACAGAGTGGGGAGCAGAACAGTTAGATAGATGTACTGGGATACACTGCTGAGGGGAGCTCTGGCGGGTCAGGAGAGGTCTGCAAGGCCATGTGGGTCAGCTCCCTGGCTGGGTCGGGATCTCATTCCTGCTGCAGTGGCTTCTGAGAACTTCATTGTGTGGAGTTTTAACCCATTGTGCCACCAGGGAGGTACATGCAGATACTCTTAAGGAACTTTTTCTGGTTTCTATGCAAACCTTCTCCCACCCCACATCCATGATCAAACAAATAGAAGAAATCTCAGTGTTTTCTTATTTGGTGAGGAAGTCCATAACTTTACTCCACAATTTTTGTCCATTTGTATTCTGATTAAATGAAGAAGATACATTTATGCAAACGTTTAGCTTAGTTCTGGGACAGAGCTGCCATATACAGGAAATTTTAATATTTTCCCCTTCTCTTCTTATGGGTTACTTATCCTATTTCTCACTCTAGAGAAAATTTCCGGGCCATTTTCTGAGGGACATTTTTCTGCATTGTCTAATAGCCTTGAGCTTTTCCATGTCTCCAGGCTCACTGTAAATAACCTCTTTGGATGTCTGTAGAAGCAAGAAAGTAATCACTTTGTGTCCCTTGAATTAGCATGCTATTTTGGTAAACAGATTATGTTAATGACTTCATTTACAAATGTATAAATGATTGAAATAGGCACTGTTTTCAGTGGCTGTTTAGACATTATTATGATAGTGTTCAATTGGGCATAATCCATTAGGATTAAAACACTTTTTTTTTTGCTTCCTTTTTACTTAACTAAAGGGAAAACAACTTTTTTTTAATCTATAAAAGACTATCTAATAGCCTTATTTTACCTGTTTTCTTCCCAGGATGGAAGGCTTCGGGTGAATGATCAACTGATAGCAGTAAATGGAGAATCCCTCTTGGGCAAGACAAACCAAGATGCCATGGAAACCCTCAGAAGGTCTATGTCTACTGAAGGGAACAAACGAGGAATGATCCAGCTCATCGTTGCCAGGAGGATAAGCAAGTGCAGTGAGGTACGAATAAAAAATAAAAAGGGGCGTGATACTTGAAATTCTAAGTTTCCGTCTTAACATGGAAAATAATGGCCTATCTGGCACATTACCTCAAATAACTGTAAAAAAATTATCTTTGCTTTAATTTTATTGTGTTGTCATGGACTGTGATTTACTTTTAAAATTCTATAACTCAACCATTCTAAATGAGGTGTACTTCGATATTTTTACTGCCAGCTTAACAGGTAACACCGGGATCTTTAGGTTACCTCCTAATTACCTTTTCATGGAAACAGGCCACACCTTTCTGCTAAGAAACAGCAATTTCTCTTTTATTCCTTGAGTGGGAGAAACTGTTAAACAACAATTGCGTATTTCTGGGTTTTTCTAAAATGGGATAATTACAACAAAGGCCGCAGTTGAGGTGTCTCATGAGATACTGTCCAAAGACGTACCCTCTGTCCCCCAGCCCTGCTTTTCCTTCACTGGAGAGCTCTTGATGTTTAGTATGTGTCCCTTTACCTGTGAGGATGAAGTTCCAACAGCCTCAGTGAGGGCCTGATCTGCTGATGTTACCAAACCATAATGCTCTGTTTTGTCCTACCTGAATATACCTGTGATAGAGTTTAATTTCTACATCAGGCACAGTAATAAATTAACAACTATATCTACTAAAAAATTGAATAGCAATTGAATACATGTTATGCCACTGTAGTCTCTCACTCTCAGAATATCTCACTGAGAATACCTATATCTCACTGAGAATATCTCATTTTCAGAGTGATACTGATTTCTGATCACAGAAACTATGAAAAGAGAAGCTCCCAATAACTGGGCACCATGGTATAGAATGAATATTTTCATCTGGCTTCCTGATGGTATAACTGGGCGCCAGTTCTGTCTGCTGCAGTATAATATGATTATTTCTAAACATATGATGTAGTGTGTGATTAGGAATAGGAAGAGAGTATCCTCTCCTCAAGGGTGTGAGTATCTGTTTCCCAAATAAGCAAAAACACAGCAAGTAGAACCATACTTTCTTCTGTTTGGGGGCTTGTCAAAGTTAAAAACAAATTATGTATAGATCTGGTAATGTTGGAACTGGAAAACAAAGCAAATTTCATTTACCTGTTGTATATTCTGTGCCATCCAGATTGTATAATAGAATGAGTGGGCCTGCCAATTTACAGAGCAAACCTTGTTGAAAAGGTACTTTGTTCCTTTTATTTTTAATTGATATTTAAATCCCCACATTTATCAGTCAGCTAAAACAAAATGACTAGCAAATCATACCAATTGAAAATTACATCTAAATTGCTTAAACATTTTTCTTAATTTTCAAATTTAATTTTAATAAATATATAATGCAAAGTTTTCAGGGTTTCATTATCATCCATCAAATCCTATACTGCTGTCATGTTATACAATGAAAATCTACTCTTGAGATCAGTGAATAAGTCAGTAATATGTCTATGTTTTGAAAGACTGTTGACCATTGACCCATATTTATTTCCTAAATGGAGAATAAATTAAATGTAACTAACAATTTAATTGCCACAGCTAGTAAACAATGTAACCTTATTAAAATCTGTGTGGAAAATAGTAGGGCATAAAAGCATTAACTCTTATAGGTATAAGCACTAATCTTTTCAGCATAGGCTAGTAGATTGTTTTTTGAATAGTAGTTTTTATTTATTGTCAGATCTTTTAAATTAAGTCTAGCCAGGTGTTACCTAAAACACTTACAATACGAGTTTATAAGACAAGTTGTTCTTTATTAATTCATTTTCTAAAAAATGAATTATTTCATATTCTACAAGATATTATTCATTTAAGTGATATTTATTAAGCACCCACTATATTCACAAAATGTGTTAGATTCTGAGGAGACTAAGTGAATAAAGCAGATGAAATTCCTTCTCTTAGAGAACTTATACTGGTCAACAGAAGTTATTCTTAATATCACTAAAAAGTAAACTGAAATTTGTAACAATTCTGAAAAATTTTCCTTTAGAGGAAGCATTGAATGTTAGAAGAGGACTTAAAAAATAAGAAATGTCCTGAAGCTTTGCATCCTGAATATAGACATGCTTCTTCTGTCTGATTCATACAATGCCATATTATTCCTCAAACATTAATAAAGCAAACCTGGGCCAACCTGAAAATGTTTGGATTAAAACACTCATTTTATTTCCTGTTGCCCTGTAAAAGACATGAAATTGGAATCCCACTGAAAAAATCCTTATTTCTCATTCACTTCTGCATATGAATTTCTGTCAATGAAAATGATTGAAAGAAAAAAGTTATAATAGATAGTAACAAACTTTAATATTTAGTGTGGTGTCATTTTCATACATTTCTGGTTATTACTGTTCTTATCAAATAAGCTTTTGAACAATTACATATGTGTGTATCTATATACTTATATATGTAAATGTATGTGTGTGTACATATATATGTATATATATATAAGTATATATATATATAAGCACTGTATAGTCTGTCTTTATAGAATCCTTTAGTTACATCCTGTTAGTACAAGTGTTGTGTACAAGAGAAGACTTTTGTACTAACAGGATGTAACTAAAGAATTCTATAAAGGCAGACTATAAAGAAGGCTTCCCATAAAGCATGACATGATTTTACTATTGTTGAACTTACCTACTACCTCTGCAAAACAGCTTCCTGAATTATCAATGGGGTGTGTGTAAATAATGTTACAGTAAATATTATTAGAAGGATAGGTTGTCTTGTCATGAACGAACATTACTCCAGAATAATGTATCTGATTTCTCTCCTTTTGGCTCTGTTAGTTAACTGGGTACTCTAGCAACTCATCTTTGAATTAAAGATTTGCATAATTAATGTTAAGCTACAGAAGATGAGAATTAGCAAAGGAAAAAAAAATTTTGTACTTGCTCAACATCTGTCCTTCAAACACCTAAACAGCACATTTGAAGTAATCTCTGGAACCCATTGCTCAGCCTTATTTCTGTCTACTTTAAATTCCCCTTTTCTGATTTATTTGTTTTAATTAGTGTTCCTCAGGGCTCTCTTCCCAGCCTGATTTTTCTTACCCCCTATGATGCCTGGTGAGCTTCATTCCCCAGCTTTCAGGTACCACTTTATTATGATGAATCCTGTAACCTTATTTCCAGCTAAAAACACTATTCTAATTCCAGATCCCTTTATAAAACTGTTATAGAAAATTTTAAAACCATATCCGTTGTTCTTCTAAAACCTGTTCCTTCTTGAGGTACCTCATTTCTCCTGCTCTGGTAAATGGCACTGCCATTGTGCAGTTGTAGAACCTAGAATTCGGGACTCACTCTTGACCTCTCAATTGCTATACTGTCTCTGTAGGTTCTCTTCAAACCATTTTTCTCCATTTCATCTACCACTGATCAAATTTAGCTCTTTCATTTCACTGGAGTTATTGTTAGAGCCCCTGAAAGATTTTTCTGCCATGATGTGTCTTCATCTCATCGGAGCTCATTCTCCACACTGTAATAAGGCAGGCTTTTCTACAAAATAAAGTTGGTCACATATTTGTGTTACTCCCTGCTGAATTCCCACTAGGATTTTCTGTTGTCTCCATGATAGATGCCCATCTCTACCACATGGTAGATGAGGACAGGCAAGAAGCTATCTGTGCCTCCTTTAGCCTATTTCCCTGTGTTTTGTGTTCAAGCTACTCAGCTCTACTAGCATTTTCTCAGACATGTAATGTTCTCTCTCACCTCCAGGCGTTCCACAGGAGTTCAGTCTTCCACTTGTACTAGCAACAACAGCCTTTAGAGTGTAGTTTTCTCCACAGTACCTTCAAAGTCCTGTGTATTTACCATCCCTGGCAGCTACCACACTGTCATCATTTCCATTTTGGCTTTCTTTCTCGGAAACATAAAATTCTGAGAGAGCTGAGAGATGGCCTGCTGCTCTGTTCCTGTCTCTCCATCCTCTGTATCCAACCCAGGTGCTAATACCTAAAGAAGGACTGAAGGACAAAGGATAGAAAGCTAAAGAGCCTGAATTTACAGGGCTAGAAGAAAAGAGTACTTAGTTATTATTAGAGACTGAACTACCAAGAAAATAATCAGACAGGGCAACAAGATTAAGTTTATGGTGGTGATCCTGGATTTCCTTTGTTTTCCTTATATAGAATGCTCTTTAGTTAAAAATATTTCACCCATTTGTTAAATAAACTCCATTGTTGTTGTTCAAGAAAAAAAAATCATAAGCTGTAATTGTTTCTTTTAAAAGAGAAAAGAGCTTATTTCCTCTTGCTTTGTATTCCTGAAGAATAGGTTAACTTTTTTGAGTTATTTTTTTAAGTTCCACTGGAAAAAAATATGTAAAACAGGAGTCAGAAAAATTGGTATCAATACCAAGGACTCATTTGTTGTGGACTTTCAAAGAGAATGGAGGGAAGTGGAAATAAAAACCTGAGATTGTTCCTTGAGTATTAACAATAACCTGAATAGACAATTATGATCATTTCAATATTCTAAAGAAAGTAGTATTTGCAGAAATTGCTGTAATTTAATACAGCTTCTAGTCATTTAATTATATCTGTGTTGCATGTGATTTTATGTAATGCCTTGTCTTAGTGTTGGAGAGAATGTGACCAGGTGAGTTTTTGTCTTAGAACCCATACTGAAGGATTTAGTCACTGAGTACTACTTTAAATGAATTATCTCTCTAGGTTTAATCTTGTTGAAATTATAAAGCCCTATTTGAATAGGGAAGGATCTAAGACACCATTTATGATTCTCTTCATTTTATGTATAAGAAATAATTGTAGAGAGGTCAAATGATTTGCTTAATAACTGTAAGACTAAGGAGGTAGCAAAGTATTTTAGAAGGTAGGTGTTCATTCCTCTTACGCATGTGAGTGGGTCTAATTGACTTAATTATGTTGCTCATGGAATTTATATTCTGGTTGTATTGAGGAAGTGCATGCAGTAAAAGTATGGCTTTGTATCAGAGTAGGTTACATTCTGGGTCTGTGACATATCTGCTTAGTTACTCAAGGGACTTGCTCTCCTCTCTCATCCTTCTTCTTGTCTGCAGGGGATGTGGAGAAAGGTAAATGTGGTCCTGGGTAAAAACCACACATGAAGCTCAACTTAAAACTCCTGCCACTGTTTTCCAAAGCTACATTGTCTGTTTTATTTGTTGTATCTCCCTCTTCCTTGGAGTTAGTACTTTCTACAGTGGCTTAATATTATCTGTGTCAAAATTCATTTAATTTCATTGTTGTGCTATATTCTTGGCTTTAAAGGCCTACTTCTGTGTGGCCTAGTATGTATAATTTGAGTCATTCATATAGAAATGAGTTAATTCAGCCAATTACTCATCTAGTTCCCACTGTGCAGGCACTGGAGATAAAATAGAATAAGCCCATAAAAAATGAAATATTGAATAATACAATTGTGCAATTATTTACAAGAACTTATTTTTTAAAGTCTGCTGAGGGGTCATGGCCATATCAATGATAACTTTTTTTTTTAAAGATTTATTTATTTATCCATATAAGAACTGATGTACAGGCCAGAGATATGGTAGGCTTAGGGGGTGAGAGGATTCACTAGAGAGATGGGGTGCTAACTTTTCAATGTTTGTAGTAGAGCTAGAGAGGTACCTTTTTATTCATGTGTAAGACATCGTTTACCCAACATTGCAAATTCACAACATCATGCAATTTTCCTAAGCCACAGAGAAATTTTATTAGTTTTTAAAAGAAACCAAGTTTTAACTTTTCCTAAGAAAAGATTTATATATTATATAATAATATAATGACAAGCAATCTTTGGTAATATCCAGTTTATTATTAAATTGCTTTTGTTATTTTCTGATTATAAGAGCAAATATGATTGAATGTCTCTTTTGAGTATACTGTATATACATTGTTTTTAGATATTAAGGCTATTCCCAATATGTATACTTTTAAAAATATTTAACTTAGGTTAAATATTGTCATGAATCTTTATTATTCAACTTATTATTTCCATAAGATAATTACGACAAAGGTAAAAACCTGGCCTAGTGAGGGTCTCTAAGATGTGTTTTGACCTGTCTCTCATATTTCCGCATTACTTTAGGAAGATTATCTCACTGTGCACTCCTACAAATATTGGGTATATTACTTCAACCTATAGCTAATTCTTTAATTGGTAAAATGGCTTTTTTGTCTTCCATGGGATGACGCTCAGGGCATCCAACATAACTACTACTACCTGAGAAAGAATGAAGGTATATTGATGAACATTTTGATCTTTAAACAACAAAGTGAAAATTTCAGCAATTCTATTTTGGTTTCTACATATAATAAGTTTTGTTTCATTCAGGTTTTCTCTAAGACTAGAAAGGCCTGGGGAGTAGCCACAGAACAGATGAAACTGCTTTTCCATGCCTCCTTCTGCCTCTCCTCTGTACTGCCACAAGGCTACTTGTTTCTCCATTAACTCATTTTCTTGCAATAACAACAAAAATTTCATCCAAAGATTTAATACAAAATTGTGTATTCTTAACTGTGTATTTTTAAAGAATTAAAAGGCATTGTATCTTCTGTTAAATATTTATGTAGTAGGCTATTAATGTCTTCATTTGAATCTCTCTTTTGAGATGCAAATTGGACATGGTTAAAGAGGTTGGGGAGGTGTAGACTCTTTTCCATGAAATGATTAAATGCCTCCTTTTTTCTGAACAAGCTTCTTTTTGTTTTTGTCTAGAAAACTTGCATGTACATTTCTTAAATGGAAGTTTTATTTGACTTTATATAATTCTGAAGTAGCATCTTGGGATATTTAGGGATTTCTCTTAAAGGAACCTTATAAAAATTTTCCATAGTTGCATAGTTCAATGAAATGTATTTGTTAAGCAAACTTAAGATTATATGTCTGTCTTATGATAAAATAAATTATTGTGTATCAAACATTCCCTGTGCATGAAGTCTTATACAAGAAGTTTATTTGCTTATTTGATGTATGTGTTCATTAAAAAAATCGCATGTACTTGTTCTTAAAGATACAGAGTATTTCTTTTGATTTTTTTCAAATCAAAATACCTTGAAATTTAGCTATAATATTCTCCAGAAAATATTTATTTTACATCATAGATCTTGAATTTTTAATTTACTTTTGAGTAAAGCTGTTAGTTGTAATCTGCAATTAAGAGAACTAATAAAACAAATCCTCATATCACCATATTGAGTATAACTCACTAGTGCTGCAAGTTTATTATTCTTCTGCAGTTCAGTGTGCCTCCATTTGTAATTGTGTTGACCCTTCAATGCATTAAATCTCCCCAGTGCTTATCAAACAAGGAGAGAGATAAGTCTACAAATAGGAACTTCATTAAATATCTCATTTATATTAAACAGATGATAGCTTCTAACAGAAATAATAATTTGTTCAGGCAAAGAAGCCACATAGGAGAGTTGTGGTTTCATCTGTTGGAATGAACAGTCTTCTCCCAATTTGCCAAGTCCTGCTGTGCCACTCCCCAGTCCCAACCCACTCTCCCTCTGGCTATGAGCCAGTGCCAAAATGTCCTAAGATATTAGTTCATGATTTAAGCTCAGAGCCCACATTGGGAGAATTGTACTAAGTAGCCTTTGTTCTTCGTTGAAGTAGATTAGTTTCAAGGCCTCACTAACGTAAGCTCCTTATGTGTGCTATCATTATGAAGGATGAGACTTAACAAGCACAACTTTTTTAAACAAATGCCATGCACAGTTTTAATTCATGGTCATAGAAAGTGACCTGTATTCTTTGCTTTTAAAATACATATATTGTGACTTATATCCCTTGCTTTTTTATATGCTATGAGTATGTTTCTCAGCTTTATTAGAATATTTGGTCTTCCTATACTGCTTACATACAGTATATAAAGAAGTATATAATAGTATATATGGATTTTACATACTGTTAAGATTATTTTGTCAGTTAATATCTCATACATAAATTATAATAAGACATTAAGATGATTATACCTAACTTCTAGAAGAATAAAATTATTAATCAGTGTATTGTTCAAGACACCTGAGCTGACAAGCAGTTTAAGTCACATAGACTAGGTAGTAATTCTACCAGTACACATACAAATGTTTGCTATTTCCTAGGTTTAATTACATTTAGTAGGTACAAAATGTATGAATTCCAATTTTATTCGGATAATGCATATCTTGTGTAGAGTAGCATCCCAAAGAATTCTGAATTAAACTATAATTTACTTTGACCTCAGCCAATAGTAACTTTGAAATTAAAAAATAATAAGCAACAAGAGTAGTCTTTTTTTTTTTTTTAAGGCTTTATATACACATATATTTCCTCATTGGTGGAAATCTGACAGAACTTCATGGGAGGTGCAGTGTAAGTGGCACAGAAAGTTGGTCATTAGGCAGAGCTGTCATCACAAATTATTTTGGTACAGGGTGAAAAGTTCTAGTTCATTTGGTGCTCAGTTGGATGTAGGCCTTGGGCAAGTTGTTATAATTCCCCCATGCTGCTAATGGGCCTCCAATACTGATTTCTGTTAAATCTCCCCTCCCCACTGTTTCTGTAGCTAAAGTCACCTGGAAGCCCCTCTGGACCTGAGCTGCCCATTGAAACCATGTTGGATGACAGAGAACGAAGAATTTCCCATTCCCTCTATAGTGGTATTGAGGGGCTTGATGAATCACCTACAAGAAATGCTGCTCTCAGTAGGATAATGGGTGAGTCAGGTAAAACTCTATTTATCTCATCTTATTTTTATGCTTTTACTGGTTCACTGAGAGGTTATTAATGTAATATTAATGCCAAGGAGGCCCATGTTTATAAAAGAAACAGAGCAGGTTTTATTATAATCATTCAGGAAGTGTTAATGTGAAGAGAACAAATCGATGTATTGATTTATTAAGTGACTTTTAGATCCTGTAAAATCTTGGAAGGAAAAAAAGGAAGGATCATATAGAACTGTTTTCCAGTGATCAAGATATTATTAGCATATTGAAGATAATAATCCATGTTTTTTTTAAAAAAAATCCAAATTTAGTGGTTTATGGCAAGAGAAGCTCAAAAGTTTTATATTATTTAGAGTAGCACTGTTAGCAGGGAGAGGAAGAAAATGCATATATATGTTTTTATATATCTATATCTATATGAAAAGTACATTATAGAAGACATACTTATGGAATATTCATATTTATTTGCTTTGTACTTAATAGGATGTTACCACATTTTAATTGCATTTCTACTTTTTCAAAGCCTTTGTTTTAAAATTCTAAAATGAATTTTTTGCATCCTTTGTTTGAATTCAAATCCATACTGTCTGCATGGCCCCAAATGGGTAATGAGGTTATTAGCACTTGTTCTGCAGCATTTCAGCTCTCTACTAACAGATGCAGTTAATAAAGACTTGCTGTACCACAGGAGTGATTGGATTTACTGAGTTGTTCACCTTGGGATTAGGGTTTTAACATCTAAAAATAAGAAGCTGTTTTGATTAACATAGCACCTGATGTGAAAAATTGCTGGTATGTTTTATAAGACTCTAATATAAAGTAAAACAATAAATTTCACTCAAACTTTGAGTATTTAATACAATTCAGGTTTCCATTATGAAATTTCATTAAAACGAGTTTATTTCATCAGTGGACGTTTATGGAAATCCTGCGATTGGTTAGCCATTGTATATACAAAGATGAGTGAGAGACAGCCTCTTTTGCTGTAGATACAGTGATGAGTGAGAGACAGCCTCTGCCTTCAAATAACTTTCAACTAAGCTGATGGGAAAAAAAACATAAACATGACACAGTTTTCTGTTCTTCCTTTAATTCTTCTGTTTCCTGTTTGGAAAAATTTGCTAAATTCTCAATTTCTTATTTTGTTACATGTGGAACTTAGATGTGCCTGCTCTCTGTTTTTACTTTGTCAACATTTTTCTTTTTGTCTGCTTGGCATAAGTGAAATAGGGAAGGATGCCAAAGGCATTACATACCTGTTAGGTGACAGGCATGTTACATTATTTATCACATTAATCTTTCTTAATGGTCACTCTTTTAGCTCTTAGTGGATTTTTCCATAGTGGATATTCTTGATTTTATGTAAAACTTTAACTTTGTGAAATATTTTTTATTTATGAAAATTCAGACCCCTTGAGAGAGAGAGAGTGCATGTGTCCCTGGATCTGTGGCATACAAAATGATTTGCTGTAATTTCCCCTTTATTATAGGAACATAGGACTTGCCATACTGAATGAGACCATTGGTCCACCAGTTCCTGTAACCTGCATCCTGCCTCCAATCCCTGATGCTTCAGAGGAAGGCGGAAAACTAAAACTAGAAACAAACCAAAAAAAAAAAAAAAATCCCACCCCAATTCACCTCTAGTGACCTTTTGAAATGCTGTGTATATGGGATTGAGGATTCCTTCATTTCATCATAGTCTATTGCCTTGACTTTGTTAGCTCTGGCTTCATTAGTCCCCTTACATTTGCATTATAGCTGACATTGTTTTCCCATCCTTCTACTAGAGATGTTGTAGACTTTTAAAACTCCAGATGCTTCCTCCAAGCAGTTACTCCCAGCTTTGTTTTATACTACGGGTGTCCTTAGGGACCCAGCATCATAGACTCTCTACTCTTTGATGATAGGCCAAAGTAATTTTAAGTGAGTTGGATATTTTCTAAGATTGTTTTTTCCACATTGTCTTATTAGAAACTAAGGGTCTTAAATCGTTTTATCCTGAGAAATTTATGCACTTACTTATCTTGAGTTTTGCAAAGTTGAGTGTTATTTCCTATTCCAGTATTATGGACCTTTAGAAACAAATGTTGTGTAAGTCAGTTCCCAGTGTAAGTTAAAAATCCTGGGAATGATGTTACCAGCAACTTAATTCCAAAACAGGTCACCAAATATAAGATACTGGAGTACTGCACTGCTATTAATTTAAACCAATAGTAGTAGTATTTATTGATTTATGCAATATTTAGGTGCATGAAAATTTCTCAGCTTTTGTTTGGTTAACAGTTATCTTTAATATGTTTAGAATAGTTCTTGGGTGGACACTAGTGAAGTGGTGGTCTTCATGATTTGCTCTGATTCTGAAAGAAAATTATTTTGAATTTCCAGATGACCACATTAGGAAATACCTACTTTTATGGAAGCAGGATGCATTTTTCACGTAGAATATTCTTCATGTAGAACTCTAGACCAAAAGGAACTTCGAACTTTCTGACTTATTTCTATGGGAACATGTAGGAGGAGAAGAGATTTAAAAAAAGATTTTAAAAGGAATAAATTTTGAATCAGAAAGATGTCACTTTTCTTCAGCCACACTTCCCTTCTTAATTGACAAGGGAACTAATTTCCAAGATCCTATAGTGATTTTAGTTTTATTTTGTTTTTTTTTTTTGCCATTTCCTATTTCTAAAAATAGCCTTCCCTGGGGAAATGCTGAGAACACAACATGAATCAATGACTTTCATGACAATCAGTCTTTATTAAAAGCCTTAGTTTATAAGAACCCACATCTCGAAAGCAAGGCAGTAAGTAGACAGTTTCTAGAACCTATTCTATTCTAGTAACCACTGTGATATTCTAAAAACCTTTGAGAAGACACCCTTAGAAATCATGTATTCCAATCTACTTATCTGCTACTCGGGAGAATTATATACAAGTGTTGTGTCTGAAGCCACAAAGTTTCTGAACCATGTTTATTATGTATATTTTTCTGAGTCCTAAGCTCCATATTACTCAAGCCTGACTTGGTGGGATCAACCAGAGCTGTAATGAAAGGCAAGATTTTTGCCAAGTGTCAGCTATATTAACAGACTTTCCACTATATTGTGGATTTTAAGAGGATAATCCTGGATAATCATCAAAAAGAAATCTGGATTGAGCCTACATAGCATTTCTTCCTTTACAAAAGCCTTAAAAACATTTTATAATTTGCTAAACTACCTTAAATCTGATATCTGTTACATCCGTTTTAGAGTTTACTCTCAACAGTTTTTTGTATTTATACATTTGTGGTGTGTTTTAAGAATATGTTCAGAATATTGTCGTCTTATTTAGAAATTCAACATAGGAAAATGGAACATCAATGTTGTTTTATTATGAGTCAAGTTGCTGACAAAATTTTCCACATTTCATCTGTTTCTAGTGTCATGCATAATGTTGCCTTCTATGTAAATGTGCAAATGAATAAATGTTTAGTAAACAATTATTCTGTATCTTGTTTTACTTCTCTACAAGATATTGACTGGTTGAAACCTTAGTTTGTACTTGTTGGCTAACTAGGTAAAGAAAGAGAAAAAGTTCATCCGTTTAAAGTAGATCAAGGGCTTTCTGGTCAGCCTCCAAGTTTTCACATTTATGATGTTTTAAAGGTAATAAATATAATTAATTGTAAGGACTATCATATCATCAAGATAGTATATATAAAATATTTAGTTATCCATTACCCTCAATATATTTCTGGAGACAGATACCAAAACAGTATTTCTAGCAAGCTTATTAATTAGAAAAATTGATAGAGAATATGAACTCTCAATTCTTTTGAATATTAGACTGTGATATCATGTACTAGTGAAAAATGCTAATTATTATCTTAATATGTTGGAAATTTATTGCCATTTATTTGTGTACAAAATTTGGGTCTTACAGTGCAATATTTCTACTCAGAACAAAATTATATATTTTTAAAAAGAATTATCGTACCCTCCCTGGTGGTGCAACGGGTTAAAGCGCAGCACTACAAGTGAGCCACAGCTGCTTCAGTGCGAGTTCAATGCCCAGCCCCAGAGGTGACCTACATGGCATGACAAACCTCTCTTGACCTGCCTGTTACTCCCCACAGCAGTGTATTTCGTTGTTCTGCCTGTTCTGCTCCCCACTTTGTCACTGGTGAAGCCTTTCACTGCCCCTGCACCTCTGGCCTGTACCCTGGGTTCTGCATGCATAAATAAATTAGTCTTTTAAAAAAAGAATTATCATACAAAGAACCATTCAGAATTCTGTATTAGGATGTTTATTGGACCTTCTTATAATATATTGTATAAACCTAAAAGTTTAAGATTTTTGTATTTAAAAATGAGTACATAATTATGAACTATACTAATTTCCTTCCCATAAATTCTGAGAATTTGGCTTTCAACACTATAACACATGCTACATCAGACATGAGCTGTCAATTAGGGATCACCCTGGCTTTGCATGCATTTTTGAGAAACTATATTATTTGAGAAGGGAACATTTCTTTGAGTAGTAGTGCTAGAAACATCTGACTTTATGAATATTTAACAAGTTTCTATTTTTCTATACTAATTTCTAAATCTTGAGTAGTAATAGATGAGTAATTTGAATTCAGGAGAAAATTATTCAGTATTTTATTTACACATCTAGTATAAGCGTTCTTAAAGAGTTGGTGGTTCTAACAATTTGTTAAAATGGTATATTTCAAATCAAATCAATGTAGTTTTCCTCGATAAAATCCTGAATAAAAGTTTCAGTGACATGTGGTATTTCTGTAATAGAGTAATTTGTGCTAAATGGGGAATGCATTTGAAATTCCTGGCAGTTGACTTTTGTGATGTCCTGAAAGATATATTGTATCTTAAATGATTTTGTTCTTTTGTTGATATGCTAGAATACACAGACAGCTTTTTTATGCCATCTCCAAATTTCCACAATGATGTTAAACCCAAAATTATCATTTATACTTAATCAGGAATATTTACTTTAAAAGTTAGATGTTCAAATTGATTTTATTCTTTCTTTTTGTATATTGCTGTTTTGTGAAAAAAAAAAAAAAACTATCATAGAGGAAGATGACACCATGTGTTAAATAGCATGTTTGGGAAATGCAGCCTTTCTTTTTATTTTAGTGGGAACCAGTATAGTTGACTTAAAAAAAATTAGAAATTGGAGAGTTTCTCCTTTTTCCTATAAGGCGATTTAATATTGACTCCGTTGTAAGAACCAGGCCAGAGGTTCTACGTTATTACTATCATATTAGTGTGCATGTTTCTATGAGTGTGATCTCTCACAAGCCTTTTGACCAAAGCTTCTTTACCTAGTCTTGTTCAGAAGAATGACACAAGATTTGAGTAGCAAATGAGAGTAATTGTGGAGGTGTTTGGGGGAAGAAGATAAAATAATTTTTACCCCAGCTTCAACTTAAAGGATTCCAGGCCATAATGTTGTATCAAGAAAGAATGTTAAACTTAAAAACTTGTTATGCTTATCCATGGTCTTCATCTTATTTTTCTGAATGAAACTAATCAGTTAGACAGTTGTGGGTCTTTCCTTACCATAATCATTACCTGAATAATTGAATCAGTTGAATAAAGAGCTCTTCTTTCAAGGTCTTTAACCTCTGGGCAGGCAAATTCAAATCTTTTATTGTTAATACCACTCCTGCTGTCTCCCCCATAGAGATCTTGATTCTGGGCCTTCTTATCATTGAAGTATCACTTGAATGTGACCTGGGCTTTTTTCCATTATGCAATTAATCTTGCTACCTTCAGTATCTAAAAATCAACATTATTCCTTTTAACAGAATAGACCATATTCATCATTCAAAGCCCAACCTTGATGTTAACTTTTATTAATATCATAGTGTTCTCTGCCTCTAGTTACCCAATAATTAGCACTTGTCAATTCCATGATAAGCACCAGTCAGTTATCACTTTTTGTATGTCTACCTCCTCTTGTGAGTGAGCTTTTTAAGTGTGGAGCTTCTGTATGTGGTAAGCGCCTAGTGAATAGGTAAATGTCTGATAGAAAAGTCTCAGGACTTTCCTCTAGATTTTCTGGTAAAATTTTTCAAAGGACCTTCACAATTTATAATCTATTTAGTATTTTTCACACAGGAAGACATTTTGGAGATCATTTCTCACTTAGGAAACCTAAACCCATAATATTCGAGTACTTTGCCCAGAGCTCATTTATTGCAGTACAAAGAGGAAAGAATAGACTTGAGGTCTCCATTTAAATATCATTTATGAAAAATAAATTGGCTTGATTTTATTTTTTCCTGCCACATTGAGGTGATGTGTGGAAATGAAAACTTTTTCTAATGTAATGAAATAGTTAACATTAATATACTTTAACACTGAGAGTGATTTCTAGAATTTCTCTTTCTCTTTTTTTCACTGGACAGGTAAATACCAGCTCTCCCCCACAGTGAATATGCCCCAAGATGACACTGTCATTATAGAAGATGATAGGTTACCAGTGCTTCCTCCTCATCTCTCTGACCAGTCATCTTCCAGTTCCCATGATGATGTGGGATTCGTGACAACAGATGCTGGCACGTGGACTAAGGCTGCAATCAGTGACTCGGCAGATTGGTAAGATCACAGCCCAGGTTTGGAAAGCATGAGTTAGTTGCAATCACAGATTTATTTTATTTTTAAATAGTCTTATCACTAAGCACAGCTTATCACTTCTTTGTTTAATCAGTGCTCTGTTTTCATGGTTGTCTTAATTATCATTTTTTTCTACCTTTTTTCTAATGTAGGAGAACTGGGGTACAGGCCAGAGGTGCAGGGGGGTGAAAGGAATCAACAGAGACAGAGTGGGGAGCAGAACAGGCAGACTGACTGAAATATACTGCTGAGGGGAGCAACTGGCAAAACAGGAGAGGTCTGCTGTGCCATGTAGGTCAGCTCTCTCACCTGGAATCGAACTCAGGTCTTAGTGGTCCTATCTCTGAGACTTAATCCCTAAAACACTAGGGATTTCCTAATTATGATTCTTGTTATAAAGGTATTCTACAGTCCCATAAAGTAACCCAACTATTTTGGCCTTTCCACTGTTGTACTTAATATAGCGCCCCCCCAAAATACCTTCTCAACTGGTTAGCAGTCTAGCCAAAAAATCCCCCTAATTTGTTCATTCTTCTTCTTATTTTATATCTTATTGATTTGATGAATTGCTTTTCTATTAAATAAGTAGATTTTAAGGAAACTGATTCTTTGTGACAGTCAGATGATTTTCGCCAGAATAAGAGTTGATATGTTCTGCAAGTGGGAGGAGACTTTTTAAAGGCTTTTTTTTAGGGGATGTGGGGCCTTGGGAGGTACTTTATGCTGTTTAAAATTCATTAGTTTCTAACCTTGTGACTTCTGAGATATTTTAAAGTTACCTTTTTTCCTGTATCTTTCAAAATAGAAGAACGTTATTTAATATTTTTCAACCAATGTGTGGCACATGAGTGTAGAAGTTTGTAGCTCATATGCCTATTAATTATATGTATCAGTAAGCAAAAATTAAGTCCCTCCTAGCAATGATTTAAGGTTATGGTAACAATGAACACAAACTATGTAAAGCAGTATACCAGAATGTTCTTATTGCCTTCCCTCTAGGATCTTTTATAAATACATCAGCAAATTATTTTTAAGTAGTATGGTTTGTTACTTTACCATTTACTATTGTTACTATTTTTACTTTTTTCCTAGGTTAGAGTTAACATTAAATATTAGATAGGAGGAGTCCAGGGGACTAGCATCTATTTGTGTTAACATTTTAGTGATGATCTTAACTAAGTAAACCATGTCCCTGATGTTCTTCTCCCATTGCTTTCATGGACAAGTGTGCAATGCACTTACCCTAATCTGCAGATGTCTTGGAATAAACTGACCTGTTCTCAGAACCTTGAAAGTGCCACCTTTAGTTTCTTTCTGTCTTTTCTTCATTCTCCTATTAAAAATATATGATTTTAAAAAAGAGCTATCCTCTAACCTGCATGATAATAGCACATCTTTGAATCTTTGAGTGTTTTTTGTTGTTGTTATTCAGCAGAGGAGGGAACTATAACATACAGTGAAAATTCATTTAAAATCTTCATACTTGTTACATTTACTGCTGAATTCATATCTCTTTCTGAAAGTGAAAGCAACAAGAGACAATAAGGATTAAATCATTTGCTATGTTCATTTTAGGGGCAAAAGGCTTATAATCTCCTCCATGATGAGAAATTCTGAAGGTGTTCATAGGAATATACCTGTTTGTTGCCTTATAAAGTACTATCTTGGTGGAAATAAGTAAATAACTAGGAAGGATAGATTGTGGCATTAATTTCCCTCTGGAAATTCATAAAATCAAGAGGACTTGTATGACTTTGCTATGGGGAGTGTGGGTCAAGGAAAAGAATATGAATGAAGGGTTATCCAAACACGAATGGCAGCTGTTCTGTATCACAGCAGAAAATGTAAGCTTTTCCAGCCTGACAATATCTCTCTAATCCTTGATGAAAATGTTATGAAAACAAAAGGGCAATAAAACAGGATTAATAACTGAAATTTTAATAACACTAGGAGTTAGGATATGGTTACATTCTTTAAAGAATCAGCTGTCAGTCCTGCAATCTGACTATTTAAGCATGCTAGTGTGCTGTTTATTGTGTGTGAGATTAGTTTAATGGATTTAATGATAGGAAAAATTAATTATGTCTTACTTTAAGGATATTTAGTTCCTTGAAAATTCGCATTGACTTACAAACTCATTTGACCATTTTATACAGTACATGTTTACAGTTCGTATATGTGTGTGTGTGTGCTTGTAAAGATATATCAAATGACTAAGCTTTTGATTTACTAACTAATAGAATATTTTTTGCAGCCCATTAATTGATTTGGGGAACATTAACAATGTTATTATGGTGGGGACTTGGGAGGGGGAGACAAAGCAACAGGTCTTAATCTCAGTGACATCATTTCAAAGGATATAAAATTAGTTTAAAAAAATGTCAATATATGGGTTTTAGGTAACATTAGCTGTCACAATTTAAATCTCTTTGAAAAATATTTTAATAATAATGTACATTAAAATTATTTAATAGATATTACAATATGTACATAATAATGCATAATTTATATTAAAATATATCCTGTTCACATATTTGCTACCTTACTAGAGCTCAGTCTTAACAGCATTAAGCCTGATATAAGGTTGACAATTAAGTATATGATGATGAAAAATCAACTTTCAGTATTTAAAAATTATTGAAATCATGATGTTTAGAGTTAGCTACATCAAAATTGGATCATAGATCTCATCATATTCATTTTAATTTTTCACTTGTAGAACTGTGTTTTATTAATTTGTGTATATGTTCCCTATAGTCGCAGTACAGTGTTGTAATAAATACTGTTTGTTACATTTTAAGAAATATGTCTTAGCAGCATGTGAAGGGGCAGTAAGCCTTCATGATGAGTGTGACCTTCCTTCATAGACTATCACAATCAGGGGAACCACCAAAATGCCCACTGTCCCTCCCTCCCCCACCCCGGTAGTCTACTGTGCTCCCTCCCCACTTTATATTCTCACCCTATTTCTTCCTTCTCTGGATACCTCAGTTCTCTGGTCACTTTCAAGGGTTTGTTTTTAAGTTTGACTGTATCTGACCCTGACCCATTGTTTGATTTGTTTGTATTCCTCATATAAGTGACCCCATCTGCTTTTTGTCTTTTTTCCTTCTAGCTTACTTCGCTTAGCAATATCTTTTCCTTCTGTGCTGCAAATGACATGAATATATCCTTTTTGATTGCTGAGTAGCATCCATGTGTGTGCATGCCACACTTTGTTAACTCACTAATCTGTTTTGGGGCACTCAGTTTTTTTCATAACTTGGTTGTTGCAAATAGTGTAAATAGTACAAGTTTCCTTTGGAAATTAGTATATTTGTATTCTTTGGGTAAATACTTACGGGTAGAATTAGTGGTATACACGCAGATCCATTTTTCATCTTTTGGAAACCTCCACACTACTTTCAGTAGGGGCTGGACCAGTGTACTTTATATTCTCACCCTATTTCTTCCTAGTTCTGCAACAGAATAAGAGGATTCCTTTCCCCCACACCCTTGCCAGCACTTGCTGTTTCTGGTCTTTTTGTCATGGGCCATTTTCAGTAGTAATTTCTTTTGTAGAGGTGTTTGAAATTTACAAAGGGCTTTTACCTTGTGCCATTGAATTAGCTTTAAAAGATGGATACCTTTTATTGTCCATATTAAGACGTCTGGCCTCAACATATTATAGGTCATTTAACAGAGATTTTTCCTTTTCACAATTTTTGGTTTAGCTCTTTGTGTATGACCCAACTGTTACTTGATTCACAGTAAATTTTAGCTAAATTTTTGATGTGCATCTAAGCCAAGTAGCTATCCATTTACTAGGTACTGATGGTATCAGGCCATAGAGGGTTAGAGAAGCTGATTTCCATCTGAAACATAATGAAGATTGTCACTGATTCAGCTGGCATAGTAAAGTTGTTCCCTTCACATACTAATTTATGGTGGAATGTTCACTTACCTGATCAGAGAAGTAAGATGAGTTGGCCCTGGAATAGGAAAGCTACTTATTTAATAACTAGGCCCAATACGGGGGGGGGGGCGCTTTCTTTTTATGGGCTGTGCATTATTTTACAAATAGGAATAGTTGTGTGTTATCACCAGCTACTTCCACTGTGAAAACACTGTAAACTGTATCCTATTCTAATAATTTGTCATAAACTTCTTTATCTCAGCTTAAGCTGTCATGTTGGGATCATCCAAAGCAAATGTCATTTAATTCTAGTCATGCTTTTTCTTACTCCCTTAAATACTGTTTATCCTCTTATCTATGTATTCATAATATAGGCTTTATTTTTCTTAGAAATTTATAGAGAACCTCTAGAGTTCTTTTCTTCTTATTTTAATGGTGTTACCTCACACAATGCATTAATATGTTCTATTAGGGGTATATTTAATTGATATCATCTCAATTGATTAAGTATTTGCAGAGGAACTACATCCTCATAGAACTATATTCTGTAAAGGGTTTTTTGTTTGTTTCTTCTGATCACCAACAATAGGATGTATAAGGAGACGAGAACACTTCCTCTTTAAAGACTTGCATTCAGTTGCCGTGTGTATGGCCATTTGTTTGCTACAAGCATTTGTTTTTCATTTGTGACAAGTGTCCTCAAATATTTAACCACTTAATTATGAAAAAAAAATCAGGCTCACTTTTGATAACCATTTAGAAATATTCATGTATTGTTAAATAGAGTGCGGAAACACAGAAATAATAGAAGAAAGTACTCACAGGGAGAAAGAATTACTCTATATTAATGTAAAGTAACTGTATTTTTGAACCACCCCTTATATACCCTTACTCTTTTTAATGTGCTATATATTTTTTGATTAGTTTAACTTTTTCTGGAATATACATATGTGTCTATACATAGCTAAACATACAGGTATATATGAATTTTCCTAAATTATTTTGTCTTCTAATTTTAGTAAATATTTTTGTGTTTTATCTTTCTCTTGATACCAGCTCTTTGAGTCCAGATGTTGATCCAGTTCTTGCTTTTCAACGAGAGGGATTTGGACGCCAGAGTATGTCAGAAAAACGCACAAAACAATTTTCAGATGCCAGTCAATTGGATTTCGTAAAAACGCGAAAATCAAAAAGCATGGATTTAGGTAGTGAGTACAATCTCCATGAATCTTTATCTAAGATTTAGATGCTTTCTGATTAAATTGATGGTCTCAAACACATGTCTGTTTACTCTAAGCATTAGAGAAAGTAAATATGAAATATGGCGATTTGGCAAAATACAGTCTTTTCTCTGAGTTTCAGAATGATATTACTCATAAGTGGCATGTTTACATAATGTGCAATATGTTAATATATATGTTTTCTGATGAGAAAAGAAACAAACACATGTGCTTATGCTATATTCGTGTGACTTTAATTGAAAAGTGAAATGTTATTACTTTGACTTTTCAACCAATTTCATTGATACAGTATTTGGTACATTGTGAGATTTTGGAATAAGAAGAAAAAGTTTTGGAGATAAACCATTATCTCAATCCATGTCTAGAATTTGGTTATTTCATGATATCTTCCTTTGATTGCTGTTCTTTAAGGTTGATTTAATAGGAACTCTTATGTGTGGATAAATAAGGCATTTAATTGAAGTAATAATTTGAGAGAATATTTGTTGTAAAAGGTATTTGGAAACAAATGAGAGGAAGAAAAGCCCTACAGTTGTTCAATAAATCCCAATCAGGTAGTGTCTCTTTTTAGCCCCAAATCTACCAAAAACAATGTCAAACAATTAATTATATCTGTAAACTGATTGAATGATTTTGTTAATCAATTATAACTTATTTATGCTCTTCTCTGGTGGCTGTACTTCAAGACTAAAAGCATTAATTTATCACATGCATAAAAGAAAAAATTGGTGATGTATTGACTTGGCTAATTATTATGTGCTAACATATAAATAACATACATGTCTGAAATGAAATGAATGGCATATGCATGGAGACACTGCTTTTTTTCTCCTTATTTTGATTATGAATGTTTGCTTGATGTTTCATATTATTTGCATGAAATATTACTTAAGGATTGTCACCTAACTGAAAAGATCTAGGAATGGTTAAAGCATGTTGGGCTGTGGGGACTAACTGGGCTAACCATTATGCATTTACCTTTTAACAGTAGCTGACGAGACTAAACTCAATACAGTGGATGACCAGAAAGCAGGTAAGAATGGACAGTTAGACTGTTGCCATAGAAACTGCTCCAAGGAGCTTATCATAATTATAGAGCTGCCAGTCGTGTTGCATGTAAACATAAATATTATAGTCTTGCAAAGATGCTTTCATTGTAGGAATCAAATTGTAAATGAAAAGAAAAATGTTCTGTTAGAAGTAATTTATCATATATTACTTACCAAATGAAAATATGGTAGTGTAAAGTGCAAAAACAATTTAGACTTTCTTAATTATATCTGTGTTAGAATGTTTTGTCACAAAAAATATTAAAGCCTGGAAAACGTGATGCCTTAGTATAGACTCTTAAGTTTTAAGTCATCTTCATCTACTCGGTATCTAGGCTAACATCCAAAATTGATTCTCAAAAGTGATGATTTTGACTTGAAGGACAACAGCATAGATACAAATAGTTTTCACTTAAGGATGATGTCCAGTATTGCTGTCATTATTCACTCAGAAATACTTAGCTTTTTTTGAGATGCTAGAATTAGTTCATGATACATATTTAGGGCTTGCATCTAAAATGCAGCATACATCCTTTCATAGGAACAATGAAATATATTAAACTGAGTAGATTATAATGTTTATATGTTCATTGACTTTATTAGAGGAAGGTTATGTATTATTCAAATAACTTTTGTAAAATTGAGCATTTCTGACTTGCTATTATAAGTTTGGAATAATGTTTTCATTGTTTTAGGTCCAGTCTGATGGCACTATACCATTTAGTACTGATTAGTTTTTTTTGTTTTTTTTTTTTTTTACTTATAAAGTAGGATTATTAGAAAGAGACAGGAGAGGAAAAGCCACTTGCATAGGCATAAGCAGGCAGGAATAGCTGCCCTAAAAGGGACAAGTTTCCAGAGAGAGAGACTTGCAAGGTAGGTTGCAGGCAGGTGGCCTTAGGAGAGCAGCCTCCATTGAGGGACGTCAATTGAAAGAAATCCCAGCATGGTACAGGTAACAGGCAGGCAGGAGGCTGCTGCCTTGTGGAGGGATAGAGCGGGTTGAAAGAAGCACCAGCATAGTCACAGGTGGGCAGATGAGCAGCTGCCTGATTAGGTTTAATTTACCTTTTTAATCTGAAATAGTCATTAATTTTAGCCTACTTGAAAAATGTGTATCCCATATACGTATATAAAGATTATTGTGGACATGGTCAGAGTTTTCACACTCTGTAGTATAAAGATAAATTGTCAAAGCTGCATCCAATAAATCATAGAATTAATTTAAGTGAAAGGCAATTAACTGTAGTCTTGGCCCTTATTAAGAAATTATTCTTTTATCAAGCATAAAACTCATTGTAATTCTGAAACAGGACTAAAAGTACACATTATTTAATAGTCTACATATATAAATTAGTAGATTTTGGAGTTAATACTTCCTAGTACTTTTAAGCAGTGACCTCTACTGTGCTTAAAAACCAAATAAAACTGCTCAGGTTAAAGAATCAGGGTTAATATACTATGCCTATTAGGTAAAGTAAGGAAATTATTTAATTTAACCTACCAGACTTGAACTGAAAACATTAAATAATTTTAATGGACAGATTTCATTATCTAATTGATCTAATTGTGTTTTAAAAAAGTGTTGGATACTAAAAAAAAAAAAATTTTCCATTAGTTGTACTCTAACCTACTAAATTAAATTATGATATCCTGGGACCAAAAAAAAAAAAAATCACAGTTCTTTTTGGGTCTCTTGGTTTTAAATCTATGAGTGAAATATTGAAACTAAATCCTCTCCAACCTACAATATTAGACAGGGAACAAATTTTCAGGTTTTTTTCCTTAGTTTATTCAAACTGTAAAAATTATTTTTTATAGTTTAGTCATAGGTTTGATAGTCATGGTGGCATTTTAGCATAGCAATAAACGTTGCATAATGAAAATCGAATTTTACTTCCTCTGTGCCTCTTTTCAATAAGAGGAGTATAAAATAGACCTAGGAAAATAGTACATGTACTGTCTCTCTCTTTATTCATGGATTTAGGGAGCTTGTGTGATATTTAGATGGTAGAATGGATAAGAGACTAGGAATAAGAAGAGAACTGGGTTTCTAGTCATTTAATCCTTGCATATATAAAACATCAAACTATCTGAATGGCCTAAAGACTTATATAAATAATGTTAAAATTAAGAGACTTTAGTGTGTGTGTGTGTGTGTGTGTGTATAAACAAAACTATATAATCTTTTACCCATATATATGAGCGTTTTCATTTATTATTCAGTACTGTTTATCAGGGATCTCAAACCCTCATTTAGGATTATCAGTATATTAGTTAGCAAAATATTGGTTAAAGTTTCTTTGACAAATATAATACTTACATGTGTAATATCCATGTCATAGTTCAAGACTCAACAAGCTCTTTTTGTCAACCAGATAGAAAATATTGTAGGCTTGCAGGTCAGTCTGTTTAGCAATTAGTTAATTCTGATGTATTGTGGAAACAGATACAATACATGCAAAACAGCGGGCATGTCTGCTTCCAATATAATTTTCCACATATAAGGAATGCTCACCATTGACAATTTCCAACATTTTGCCAAAGCATTACAGTATAGTGTTAACTGATTTAGAGAAAGGCTAAAAGGTGAGTAGATAAACTGTGTTATCCTTAACAAATAGCTTTGCTTCTTAGTGATGCTGTCATCATTGCTTTTCTTCACAAATATGCCTAGCTTTATGTATTTTAGCAAGCACATGTATTCATATATAAATATTTACATATATATGTAATTTTTAGCAGATAAGCCATTTTGATGTTCATTTTTAAAGTTTTAATGATTTGAGTACATTTAAGTTAAATCTCAGCTGACTTCATAAAGAAATGCTATAAATAAATGAATTTTTATGGTAATCTTTACCAGAAGCATGAAATCTTTACTGGAGACACAGATTAGATATACATATCAATACACACTTGTGTGGTTTATGAACCCAATTATTATATTTGCCCTATATTTCTTTATAGACCCAAATGCAACTGTTAAGTTACAAAAACCGATAGACTTTATTTAGCAAAAGATCTTCCCAATTCTTCTTTGGAGAAGTACCTTATTTGCTCTTCTGCTCAGTTTTTGATTGAGTTGTTTTCTTTTCTTGAATTATATGGGCACTTTGTAGGTCTTTGATAGCAATACCTTGTCAGATGTATGGTGGACAAATAATTTCTTCCATTCATTGTTTCTTATAATCTTTGCCTCTCTCTCTCTCTTATTATTATTATTTTTTTGCTATACAGAAACTTTTCTCCCATTCTTTTGAGTCCTTAATTTCATAGTTTTTGTTTCATTCTAAGAAAAAAAATTAATTTTCCTTCCAGTGACATGACTTTTATGAATATTTAGAACATGAATGTCTCAAAATTTATAGTGCTATCAAGAGAATAAGACTGATCATCTTAGCAAGACAAGAGCTATTTCATGTGAACTTTTGCCATAAATGTTCAAAAATTTGCAAACCTATATTGTGGAGACTAAGTAATCATTTTTTTTGTTGTTGAAGCACAGTTATTTGTGGAAGATTACATCTTCATTAGAGTCATCTGTCTACCCTTCTGCCTGTTACATTTTTAACATGTTTATTGTAACTTAAAACTGCTATCCCATTGTGAAAATTAGGTGAAAAATGTAATGCAAATGAATCTTCAAAAGATAATTCTTTTTTGACTCTCTCAAATTCATTTTTATTTTGTACTAACATTCTAAGCCATGGAAAGCCCATCATAGCTACTTGGTTTCTGAATGAAAATAGGCTTGTTAGTGAAGGTTTAGCATATGGGCTGATCATTACACATAGAGATCAACTACTTAGTCTTTACACTTTCAGTTTTTACACCTGTCTTTTTTTTTTTTTAAGATTTTACTTATGCATACAGAACTGGGGTACAGGCCAGAGGTGCAAGGGTGGTGAGAGGCTTCACCAGAGACAGAGTGGGGAGCAGAACAGGCTGACTGATGAAGTACACTGTTGAAGGGAGCGGCGGGTGAGACAGGAGAAGTCTGCCACCATGTGGGTCCCTTTCGGGGAGGGGATAGAACTCATGCTGAAGTGAATTAGCTTTAGTGCTGCATTTTAACCTGCTGTGCCACCAGGGAGGACCCATTTCTTTTCTTTTCTTTTTTTTTAAAGTACTGCTTTATTTTATTTAAATTTTTTTTATTGCATTTAAACTGGGTTCAGGCCAGAGATGCAGGGGCGGTGAGAGGCTTCACCAGAGACTGAGTGGGGAGCAGAAGAGTAGATCAATGAAGTACACTGCTGAGGGTAGCAGTGGGTGAGACTGGAGAGGTCTGCTGTACCATGTGGATCACCTCCCATGCCAGTGATCAAACTCACACGGAAGTGGCTGCAGCCAGCTTGCAGTGTTACATCCTAACTCAATGTGCGACCAGGGAGGGCCTACACCTGTCTTTTTGACAGTGTTGGTGAAGAACTAGTTCTTTTACCCTTTGTGCCCAGGTGGAGGGGCCAAGCTGGTGCTACAGACATTCAGATTCTGTATTAGTCCATCTTCGAGGACCAGGTTAGATAGTGATAGAGAAGACTCATACATGGTTAGAAAAACAAAACTGTGTTAGTTGTATTCTAAAACTTGGCACTACTGGTATTATCTTAGACTACTGCCCTAGATTCTTAAAGTGGAGCCAAATTTTCTACTTCATTGAAAGTTTCCCTTGCCATTCTACTGAAAATTTCTTGGTAAATGCTTAGTTTCTTCCATATATTCCCCACTTATTTCTGAAGCAGGTTATTATTCCCAGCCTGGATGGGAAAGTTCTCATGTCCAGCTCTGTATTCTCTCTACTTCCCTCTAGAAAAGCACTTAACATAATTTTTTTTCAACTCAAATATAATGTTGCCATATTTTGTTAAGAATCAAGTTTCCTCCATACCTGTTTTGTTATCATGTAGTCTCTGCTTTTTTTTTCATTTCTGAGTTGTGTGAGCATGCACTATGCTGAGGAAGAGGTTTTATGAAGAACATTGTTATGAAAAATGAACCTCTATTGTAAATAATTTAAAACTGTTAAAAAATAGTTTCAGCTAAGACAAAAAGTTATTTTTGGTTATGAGCCCTCGCCTCTCATCATATTTGCTCTTTAATAAGCCTCTGGGTGATTCTGGTTCTTTTAGATAATTTATAAAACTTCTATCAAGTAATTTGAAAAAATTTTCTTTACCTAAAAATAGAAACTAGTAACACAATTTTGCTTAATTAATATGGAGAAAAATAGGCCAAATATAATATAAATTTGGGAAACATGTAAACTAGCCATTGTTCTTTATTCACTCACATTTATTACTTTGACATCCACATTATAAGATATCAGTGAAGAAATTAGTTATGCGTTGTTGTTTTCCATGATTCATAGAAAGTCAAATATATAATTTTTCATCACTGATTCTATCTAACATTTTGTTTTTGTGAATTTCAAAGGTTCCCCCAGCAGGGATGTGGGACCTTCCCTGGGTCTAAAGAAGTCAAGCTCCTTAGAGAGTCTGCAGACCGCTGTTGCTGAAGTGACTTTGAATGGGGATATTCCTTTCCACCGCCCGCGACCACGGATTATCAGGGGACGGGGGTGCAATGAGAGCTTCAGAGCTGCTATTGACAAGTCTTATGATAAACCTTCAGTAGATGATGATGATGAAGGCATGGAGACATGTAAGTTTATGATACTGACAAAAATAACAATTACAAACAACATATAAAAGAGGCAGTTTTTGGCCCTCCCTGGTGCTACAGTTGGTTAAAGCACAGCACTAAGAAGCTAAAGCCACTTCAGCATGAGTTCGATCCTTGCTTGCCCTGGAGGTGACCCATGTGGCACGGCAGACCTCTCCTGGCCCACCTGCCGCTCGCCTCAGCAGTGTAGTTCACCAATCTGCCTATTCTGTTCCCCACTCTGTGTCCAGTGAATCCTTTCACCACCCCTGCATCTCTGGCCTGTACTCCAGTTCTGTATGCATAAATAAATCTTTAAAAAAAAGAGGCAGTTCTCAATGTATGCTCCAGGGAACCCTGGTAGTTCCTGATATTGTTATCAAACAGAGGTACATGTGGTCTTAATTATTTTCATAATAATAAACTGATATGATTTACCTTTTTATTCTCATTCCTTCACAAGTATACAGTATGACTTTCTAGAGGCAATATGTTAAGTATTACTGTGATAAGAGAATGCAGAGCAGGTAGAAGGATCTTTTTTAACTAAATATTGTAAGAGATTTGCTAGGTTATAAAATACTGCCTTTTCTCAACAATTTTTTAAATTATTGTTTGTAAAAATATAATTTCTATATGAAACTTGTTTTTTATAATATTTTTAGAATTTCTCAGTTAAATTTAATCATTCTGATAATATAATTTACATCAAAGAATTATGTATAGTCCTTAAAAAATTTAGGCAGTGTAAAGTGATCCTGAAACCAGAATATTTGATAATCACCTTCTAAAGTAAGCATGAGTACTGTGATCCCTACAGTGAAAATATGCAATAATCTATGATTATGAAGCTTATTTTTGTTTTTATGAATTACTCCTGTTTCCTTGATCTTACCAAGATATTTGTGCTTCTGTGTGCATTTCCAAATTGCTCATATGTTATGCCAAGATTATTGAAAGTCAAAAGTTAGTATGAATGAGCAATATGTTTTCCATAGTAGATTGAAAAAAAAGTAACATTTACAAATATGTACAAATGTATCCTTCAGTGAGTTGCTTTATAGATAAACATTTATGGCATAAATGTAGCTGTTTAATTGAATAATTAAAAAAAAAACTCGGCTAGCATAGGCAAAGAGCCAGAGCTTAGCAACCCTACTACTAAAATTTGTTGATTTTACTTATATTATTCATAACTACTAATTTACATTTTTTTTTGGTTTTACAACTTCAAAATAAGTACCTCTGCTCATCTAACCATTTTAAGAAAAGTTGGAGACACTGTTGCCTGAAGTTAAAGTAGCAATAGGACTAAAAAGAAGGGTGTTCTAAATTATCTGTAATTTAAATTTTTAGATAGATCACCTTTAGTGCTAAGAAAGACAGTAGAGGAGAAGAAGAATTTTAAGTAGAAATCACGTTCTGAGGAGTTTTAAGGCAAATTATACAGTTTTTACTTTGTCACATGAGATGCTTGGGATGATGAATATTTCTACTGTCATGTAATGCAAAACATAGGGAGAAGATTGCCTCACCTCCCCCTTTCGCCTCACCCCTGCCTTCAATCTTACCTTGTTACTCATCTCAATCTGGGTGTTTTTTTGTTTTTGTTTTTTTCATTCCTTCCATCTAGTAATTTTATTTTTTTTTTTACTTAATTTTATTGGTATCCAGTGGTGATCTCCACCTTGTCAGTATATAAACACCACATTAGACCTACCGCCAGCATACCCATCACCCTCCACCACGGTACATGGGCCCCTCCATATTCTGCTCCCCACCTCCCTGCTGTTCCTCTGCTCTCAGTTCTGCAGTGGGGCTACCAAGGTTTCTTTTTTGGTTTTGTTTCTACTCTTTCCTTTCTTTCTCTGTATTCCATGTAAGAAAAACCATCCACTATTTGTGTTTCTTCTTATGACTTGTTTCTCTTAGCATTAGCATTACTCCCTTCAGTTTCATTAATATCACAAATGGCGAGACATCACTTTTTTTTTTGTAGCTGAGTAATAATACACACACCACATCTTCCTAATCCACTTATCTCTTTATGGGCACTTAGGTTGTTACCATAACTTGGCTTTCGTAAATTGTTCTGTGATGAACATAGGACACACACACACACACACACATATACATACACATACATACATACATGCACACATACATATATATATATATATAAAGTGTGCACACACACATATAAAACTGCTTTACAAATTTAAATTCATTTCATATCTTTTTTTGCCTAGTTGCTTTAACTAGCACTTTCAATACTATTTTGAATAGCAGTGGTAAAGGTAGACATCCTGTCTTGTACAAGTTCTTAGAGGAAGAGCTTTAAATTTTAACATTGAGGATGCTGCTTCCCTCAATGCTGTGTGGGCTATGTGCCTGCACACTAGTAGGCATTCAACTCCTCAGCACTGCTGGCCAGGCTGGTCTTTACCAGTAATAGAGCAGCTTCCCACCCTACCACATCCTTTGTTCTCTCTGAACCCTCTCTTTTTCACTGACCCAGAATTTTCCTCCATGTCCCTTGGTGAAGTCTGCCTGGGTTCTGATGCACAATCATTATTCCACTTTTGCCCTAAGCCTCGGGACTCTCTTGGTCCTCTGAGGAGTGAAGCATGGAACCTACTCTGATGCCCGTCTTGGGTAAAGAGTGTATTCTATTTTGCTGCCAAGTCTTATCTCCAAGATGCTGAGTGACATAAAATTTCAGTCCTCTTTTAATTTTTTTCAGATTAGATCAATATCTCCTTGTCATACCAAAAAAACAAAAAAACAAAAAAACCACTCTCAGTGGAGCCCTCTTAGGGTATGTTCCCTCTCAATTACAGATCTTGCCTTTTGTCTCTGGAGATACAGCACTTTGACTTCTTAATAGTTGTGTTTTAAGAATCTACAGTTTTTGTGGTGTTTCTGAACTTTTTTTCTGTTTCTGATTAAAATGTTTTTTTTTTTTTTAACTAATTACAATTTAAATTTTCTAGTAAAATGCAACTAAGGCTTAGTCTAGTTTTCCACCACTGTGTTTATCTAAAAAAAAAAAGTAGCTTTTTCTCAGCCAACGTAAGATTTAATTTTATTTAGACCTACTCATTTAACTATTATCAAGTGAGAAAAAAGTAAATAAAATTTGCTAACTTTTAAACCTGTGAGCTAAAGGTGAAGTTCTGGCAAATAACTGGGAAAGGCAGTCACTTAAAGTGACAAAATGCTGTGATTTCCCAAAGTCCTGATTTCATATTTTTTGTCTTTGTTCTGAACTTGGGATGTAGCAAGAGTGACAGCTATCACACATTGCACAGTTTCTACAATTTGTGTTGTTGAAACTGTATGAATTTAGTGGGTGAGTAATCAAGTAGAATTTAGTTGACTTGAATTTAGTCCACACTTACTGACTTTGGGTTTTGGTTTCAGTACTTAAAATCCTTGAGCTTTGAATGCCTCAGTTAGATCACTGATTTTCAAATTTTCTACTGTGAGGTTTCAATGCTTCTCAGTGGCATTGGGGGTTGGGAAGGCATTGGGAAGCTACGTAAGAGGCACTTTGCCAAGGCCACCAGCACCACCCCTCACCCTGCTGTCTCCACTTCTGCTGCAACAGTTGTGGGGTTTGAAAATCACTTGAAATACATTTTTGTTCTTTATAAATTTTAATTTTAAATAAGTGCAGTTTATAGCACTTCTGAGGTTTCTTAAGTGTTCTTATTTAGGTGGTTTCTGAGGTCTCTTCCAGTTTTAGCACCCCATGACTTCCTGAATACTCAATCCTGGTGGCTAACCACCCCCACTTTGTAAAGTTCACAGAGGAAGACACCCCAATATCTCTTTTAGTGCTGTGGGACTAAGTATATGGCTTAGCAACTCATAGGATTCAGTGAATATTTATTACATCAATAAGTGAGCTCTTTAAAATGAAGCCATTTTGTGACTCAGAAAGTCTGATGGACAGACGCTGACTTTCAGTACCTTGACGGTAGTGATATCTTTCTGTTCCTGTTTGGATCCCACGCTGAACTTGCATGTACTAGCCTAGGAATGTGTCATCAAACTGCACTTGCCTAAGAATAAGAATAGATACAAATTGGTTAGAGGTAGCAATCATTAGACTGTCACCTTTACATATAATTAGATACAAAACAGTGTTTTGTGCTTACACCTGAGAAAGAAGGCTGACTCAGCCTTTCCTTCAGTTTCCTAAACACCATGTTTTACAGAGGCTGACTGTTGAATTCTCAGTGATCTACAGGCTTCCTATTGCTGTAACTACTCAGAATCCAGAGTTTGGTTTCTGGTTGTTCTTTGTATCATTGCCCCTTGCTTTTTCTATGCTTAGGATGCCGTGGTCAAGGCCTCTTTCTTTCTTTCTTTTAAAGATTTTTATTATTATTATTAATTTATGTATATGGAACTGCCAGAGGTGCAGGGGCGGTGAGAAGACTCACCAGAGATAGAATGGGGAGCAGAATAGGCAAACTGAGCAAGTATACTGTTGAGGGGAGCAGTGGGTGAGTCAGGAGAGATCTGCTGTGCCATGTGGATCACCCCAGGGCGGGTGATTGAACCTGCACTGAAGCAGCTGCAGCTGGCTTGCAGTGCTCCATCCTAACACAGTGCGCCACCAGGGAGGGCCCAAAGGCCTCTTTCTTATGCAGTGTTATTACAAACTACCTGTTGAAATGAAAATACCCTACCACTGTTGAAAATTGGTCAGAAAAGATGCCTGCTGTGTTGCTGAACAATCTTTTTGTCATGTAGGACATCCTATAAGGAGGTAGTCATGAACCCCAGAAATCTCAGAATGCAAACTGGGTTGTTTTGGAAAAGCTATGTAAAGTGGGGCCTGAGGTGGGACAGTAAGGAGCAGTTACCTGTGATGCCCCAGTTTCTTGCTTTCTGCTTTCATGTAGCCCATTTCCACTTTGCAAGTGAGGCTCAGCTATATGCATGGTTGGCTCCTCTTGTCAGTCAGGCTGAGTACCTCCCCAGTGACT